CGGGGTGGGTGGGGGGTCCCTCCGGGTGTTCTGGGGACAGAGGGGCTGCCGTGTGGGCGGGGGGCGGCGCGGAGGGGGCACGGGCGGTGAGGGTGCGGCGGCGGAGCGCCGGTCTCGGTGACATCGGTGGCATCGGTGACATCGGTGACACGGGTGGCGTGTCGGGGTGCGAGCCCCGCGCCGGGCGGTGGGTCTGAGCCCGGCGCTGCCCGCGGTGCCCCCGGTGCCTGCGCGTGGCCGAGGGCGCCCCGGTGTCGCAGCAGCGGCCGCGGCCATGCCCTTACAAGGGAGCGGGCGCTGCCTGCGGGGGGAGCCCCCCCGGCCCCACGCCGGGGGTCCCAGCTGTCCCCGCCGCGGGGTTCCGGCCCTCAGGGGGTCTGGCTGCTCCCCCCGGAGTGGCACCCGGTGTCGGGGTGGTGGCAACGGCCCGCGGTCCCTGCTTGTGCCACTGTCCTGGTGTTCCCCGGGTGTGCTTGGTGCTGTCAGGGGCAGCTCGGCGCATCTGAGCCTGGCACACCTCAGCACGGGCCGGGTGCCACCGGCACGGCTGGCACACGGTTCGGCAGCTGCTGTCCCTCAGCTGTGCCAGGGCAGCGTGGGGCATTGGTGACACTTTGACACGTGGCTGGTGGCACTGGGCATGTGGCAGGGTTCACTGTCACCGTGCTGTCCCACCCTGATGGGTGCTGGCAGTGTTCGTTGTCACCGTGTTGTCCCACCTTGATGGGTGCTGGCAGGTGTTCATTGTCACTGCACTGTCCCACCTCTCCAGGTGCTGGCAGTGTTCACTGTCACCCTGCTGTCCCTGCCAGGTGCTGGCAGGTTCAGTGCTGTAGGTCCCGGGGCAGGTGTTTGGTGTCACCGTGTCACCTCACCTTGCCAGGTGACACCGTGTGACCCCACCCTGCTCGGTGCCAGGTGGTGCTGCTGGACACGAGCTGGTGTCACTCCTCAGCGAGTGCCACAGGGTTTGGTGTCACTGCACAGTGCCACCTCGCTGGGTGCCAGTGGGGGACCGAGGGTGGGGGTTCCTGTCCCCCCCTGCCTGGTGGCTTTGTGGCCACGGGCTGGTGCGGGTGGCTGAGTGGCCACGGGCCGGGTGCAGGTGGCTTTGTGGCCACGGGCTGGGTGCTGGTGGCTTTGTGGCCACGGGCCGGGTGCGGGTGGCTTTGTGGCCATGGGCTGGTGCGGGTGGCTTTGTGGCCACGGGCCGGGTGCTGGATGCTTTGTGGCCACGGGCTGGTGCGGGTGGCTGAGTGGCCGGAGGGCAGCTCGCCTGCAGGGCCGGTGATGTCAGGGCTGAGCCAGCACAGCCGGGCAGGGTGACACAGCAGCGGTGGGCACGGAGCCCGTGGGAGCTGGTGATCCCTGCCAGCAGCTGGCACGTGCCATCCCTGCGGCCCAGAGCCCAGGGGACCCAGCACCCGCCCTGCCAGGGGCTCTGCCACGCGTGGGGCAGGGCTGGAGGAGCCGCTGGTGGCCCTGGCATGGTGGAGCTGGTGGCCCTGACATGGTGCTGGTGGCTCTGGCACGGTGCTGGTGGCCCTGGCATGGTGCTGATGGCCCTGACACAGTGCTGGTGGCCCTGATACGGTGCTGGGTGGTCCTGGCATGGTGCTGGTGGCCCTGACACGGTGCTGGTGGCCCTGGCACGGTGGCACTGGTGTCCCTGGCATGGTGCTGGTGGCTCTGGCATGGTGCTGGTTGCCCTGGCACAGTGGTGCTGGTGGCCCTGGCATGGTGGCGCTGGTGACCCTGACATGGTGCTGGTGGCCCTGGCACGGTGGCACTGGTGTCCCTGGCACGGTGCTGGTGTCCCTGGCACGGTGCTGGTGGCTCTGGCACGGTGCTGGTGGCCCTGACACAGTGCTGGCTGGCCCTGGCATGGTGGAGCTGGTGGCCCTGATACAGTGGTGCTGGTGGCTCTGGCACAGTGCTGGTGGCCCTGGGGCTGGCTGGTGTCCTCCTGGTGTCCCTGTTGGTGTCCCTGGGGCTGGCTGGTGTTGTCCTGGTGTCTCTCTTGGTGTCCTTGGGGCTAGGGGGATGGCTGGTGTCCTTCTGGTGTCCCTGTTGGTGTCCATAGGGCTAGGGGGCTGGCTCGTGTCCTCCTGGTGTCCCTCCTGGTGTCCCTCTTGGTGTCCCTGGGGCTGGCTGGTGTCCTCCTGGTGTCCCTCTTGGTGTCCTTGGGGCTAGGGGGATGGCTGGTGTCCTTCTGGTGTCCCTCCTGCTGTCCCTGGGGCTTGGGAGCTGGCTGGTGTCCTCCTGGTGTCCCTCCTGGTGTCCCTCTTGGTGTCCCTGGGGCTGGCTGGTGTCCTCCTGGTGTCCCTCTTGGTGTCCCTGGGGCTAGGGGGATGGCTGGTGTCCCCCTGGTGTCCCTCCTGGTGTCTCTGGGGCTGGCTGGTGTCCTCCTGGTGTCCCCGGCGATCTGGGAGTGGCTGCTGGCCACAGTGGCCATGGTGGCTGCAGTGCAGTGACCATCCAGAAGTCCCTCCTGATGTCCCTGGGGCTGGGAGGCTGGCCAGCATCCCCAGTGTGGTGGCCTATGGCTACAGTGTGGTGGCCTCGTGGTGTCCCTGGGGCTGGCTGGTGCCATGCTGGGTCCCTCCTGGTGTCCCCAGAGCTGGCTGGTGGCCACATGTGGTGGCCATGCCACAGTCCTTGGTGTCCCCAGGCCTGGCTGGTGGCCACAATGTGGTGGCCCTGCCACAGCCCTCCCTGGTGTCCCCTGGTGGCCACAATGTGGTGGCTGTGCTGGGTGCTGGCCAGCATCCCCAGTGTGGTGGCCTATGGCTACAGTGTGGTGGCCTCGTGGTGTCCCTGGGGCTGGCTGGTGCCATGCTGGGTCCCTCCTGGTGTCCCCAGGCCCAGCTGGTGGCCACAGTGTGGTGGCCCTGCTACAGTCCTTGGTGTCCCCAGGGCTGCCTGGTGGCCACAGCGCAGTGGCCATGCCACAGCCCCTCCAGGTGTCCCCAGGGCTGCCTGGTGGCCACACTTTGGTGGCCCTGCCACAGTCCTTAGTGTCCCCAGGCCCGGCTGGTGGCCACACTTTGGTGGCCATTCCTGCTGGGTTTGGGGCTGCTGTGGCCACGTGGAGCTGAGGCTGGGGCCTGGCACCCCCAGCTGGCACCGTGCCCCCCCTGACAGCGGTGCCAGTGCCAGCTGGGGGTGTCCCCTGCCCCCCTCAGGGACAGACACTCACCCAGCACTGCTGGCAGGGCTGAGACCCCAGCCCAGGCCCGGGGACGGCCCCACTGGGGGGGAACTGGGGGGGCTGGCTGTGCTGGAATGGGGGGGGCCTGGGCATG